AAGGCACTTTCGACTCGCATTCTCTCTCATATAACACTTGAATGTAAAACTTTATTATTCTATTCAGTTCTTGTATACACACATACGCACATACATACATACATACATACATACATACATACATACATACATACATAAATTAGTGAATATTCCATATCGTGAAAGATAAAAGATGGCAATAAGGTAAACATAACCGCAGACGATCGTAAATAATGGTCTTGCAACGCTGTAAAATCCTTTTTGTTCTTTCTTCAAATCCTGACTGACTTGTGTATAAAAACTCTCTAATATATATAAACTTTGTATTGTATGTGCGTGCGAGCGCATATGCGCGATAAAGGGTGAATGTGTCTCGATTACTGACAGCCGCATAAAAAGCATGAAAGCCTTCGCTTACACATCTTCTCTTTAATATTTTGAAAGAAATGCAAATGAATTCATTTTAAATGACCTTAAGCGATTTTTAGAGAATATGATGCAGCCGTGCACGAATTACATAGTATATGGTTGCTTGTTAAATATATTTGAGATATACTTTTACCTCTCTTGTTTACTTTATTACTTAATTATATTTTGTAAAACTAATATTTATTTCTTGATTTATATTCAAAATTATCATAAGTTTATTTAAAAAAAAAAAAAAAAAATTTCAAATACTGAGCTCAATTCTGCCTTTGTTTATATATATATATATATATATATTTTTTTTTTTTTTTTTTTTTTTTTCTGAGTAAAATTTAATATCATAGAGGAAGACAAGGTCATTAGTGTGGGAATATTTTCAAAGATATTTACGCGCTTTCTTAAGATTTGAATAACGTGAATTTTTCATTTAAATTTTCCGGGTTTCTGTAGCTTGATAGCACTGTCCTTCGTATCCAGATATATAGACTTTCATATCAGATTATGTAATATCTTCGATTATCGCAAAGTTATGCATGTTTTTTGTAAACATATCGAAATGAGTTTCCCAATTCTTAGCATGTCCGCTTGCCTTAAACTTTGTTTGGGAAATAAAATATTTTGCCCCGGAAACGTTGCCTTTGCTACAGAAACTGTTTCCCTGATGAGACTATATCGCAAAAATGTATATAGAAATTGTAAAAGTGCACCCGGGACCACTATCAATATCTACCGCCGAAAGCTACGTCAAGGAAAACGAAGATTTTGTGCTCGAAAAGCATCGATAGACAGTTGGAGACATCAATGACACCGTGATCATTTCATTTGGATCAACCGAGACCATTTCAAAAAATATCTCTTGGTGCCTCAAATTCGTCCATAATCTCGATTAGATCCCAAAGGACTCTATTTTTTGAAAGAACAAACGCACCACATTGGCATCTACGAAGAAACAATGAGTTGTGGCTATCAGGACTCCACAAACCGTATGAAGTTCAGATATATTTGCACGACCCGATCGCAATTCGCCAATCGAGCGAAAACTGCAAAAAAATCAAGCCAAAGGTGTTCAAATTTTTGTCACTCTTTTGCGATTGTCACGATCTTCACTGTGTTCATGGTGAACGTCTTCCGTCACGCTAAAATGTTGACAAGGAATACCCTTTGAATGCTATGCTCCGTCCGTATCCATGTAGGTTAGAATGAATTGATCATTTCACTTTACAAAGAGGAAGGGAAGGGTTACGTGATTAATTTATGGTTCAATTAATGCAGGGCGATGTATGCTCTCTTGTGAGTTGTTCGGTAATATTTCTTTTAATGCTCTTAGTAAGTGTCGTTCGGATTATATGCCCAGATCAGATTATGCTCCAATGCCCCACTAATTATGACATTCATCCATAATCCTTTTCGCACACTTTTTCAAATGTACAAAGGTATCGATCGCATGTTCGTCATACTCGCGAATTGCAATGATTCTAATAAAAATTTAATACTACTTTGCTAGTTTGCGTTTTTCTTATACTTACGTAAATTCATAGGCGTGCATATCAGCTCGTGCTTTTGCACGCATATAACGTAATGAATGCTTGATAACGTTTGTCATAATTGATAAAAAGTAAATTTTAAGTTTCTCATTACGATTTTTATGATTAATTTTGTATTACTATCTTTATTGCTATTTCATTAGTTAATTAGCTCCCATACCATTTGTGGTCCGAGAGATTATTATTTTTGCGGATATATGCGACACTTCGAAGAACTTGGGGTAAATCTTCTTCTCATCTTTCATTATACCGATCGATTCAGAATCATATTGTCTGTCTGTCTGTCTCTTCTATTGTTTATCTCGTCTTCGAGATATTTTGATGAGCTCAAGGACGAACTTTATCGGAAATGTTCCGCGTTGAACCACTTTTCCGAGCACTGCTTACTTAAAAAAGGCTCATTTTGAAAGGCCGTTATATGAATAACTATATGAAACGAGTAGTGGTTTGGGGTATTTAATGATGGACCCTGTTTCGCTAAAACCAGCTCGCTTGTTTTTCGATTCATGTATTAGCTGAGTATAAAATATTTGCAGCGAACATGTTTTAAATCAATCAAACGAACAAACTATACCTAGGCTCACCCATCATGCAGACAGCAACTTATTTACTTACGAATAGCAAAATATTTAATAAATTTTATATAATAGGTTGACTAACACAGCACAGATGCTTGATCACACACAACAGTTGAGCGGACACAACTTTTCTCTGTTTGTGTTTTTGTAACGAAATAAAAGCTATTGCGAGCATGTGTGAATGAATGGGTGAATATTAGGGAACCTTAAAAATACCAATTCCGCACTAAGTGACATTGGCGATTCACTTGCTATTCACTAACTATTTTTAAATTTTTTAAGCTATCAAATTTATTAACTTCCAGATGACTCTTACTTGCGCTTAATAATTAATAACAATAAAATCGTAGCTTTGTACAGAAATGTGTATTAGAAAACAAAAACAAAAACAAAAACAAAAAAACACAAAAAGAATAAATAAGTAAACAAAAGGAAGAAAGCAAATGCATTGTTAACAATGTTGTATCAACAAATGACACGCTTTGTATACGATGTGCAGATGAAACTCATAGGGAAGTATTGCATACGAACCCCATAAGAAATTGATAACAAAATTTTGCTAATAATTGAAAAGTGTCTCCGATCAAGATCTTGCTCTATTTCACTTTAAATGGCGAAACCTTGCCTAAGAGATGCATGGCAAGCAATAGAGACAGAGAAGACGACACGTGTACTATTTACATGAGAGGGGTGAGATAAGTTGATCATTGATTCCTCTGTTAACGATCGATGCGTATTCTCTCGTCTGATTTTTGCGTATTGTACCGAAACATATATTAGCATAATTGTCGCAAACAGTTCAAGATTACCTGCGTATTATGCAAATTCCTAACAACGATGATAATGCGTATTACAAGACATTCACATATACTTATATACACACTTTCTTGTGCCGCGTAGTCTTCCGAGTAAACTTTACGGTGCAATAAAATGTTGGTTTTTTTTTTTTTTTATGTTTAAATCTGTCAAGTATTAGAAACTTAGCTGGAGGCTAAGAATGGGAGAAATTCTTGTTCATGTGAATAAATTCTATTTCAATTACAAAAACACTCATGATTAATGAACTTTTTTCTTTTTTTTTTAATATTCTGAGAGCACAATACAAGCAAAATTTGTCATTGAATAATGACAAATTAGAAACTTATGCAAATGATTACGAATAGGTGCAAAGTTGCTACAAATATGGTGAAACAATAAGTGATCAAAGAGAAAATGCATAAATCCACCGATTAATGAAGATTGTACTAAAATTGAAGTTTTCCAAAACATCTTGGACTCTTTCTAAATAAATAATATATCGAACATTATATTTTATTGACATTTAAGTACATTTCTTTGTGTACAAAGTAAACAATAATTCGATTTTCTCCAATTTTGCCTCAATTGATAACAAAGCGGCCTAAACGATTCGCTAGAAGTTCACGATACCATAAGTATCCTTGGATACTGTTTTATTAGTTAATATAAGCAATCTTCAAGAGATCCTCTTGGCTTCTATGTAATACAATTTAAATAAATAATAATATATTAACGCGGGAGACAGCTTGGAGCGTACATTTCTGCAACCTTTCCTTTCCTTTTCCTATATATTCTCGAACATGAAGATATTCTAGTGCAGCTTTCAACTTTCCTAGTAAATGAAATGTCTATGAAATTCGATACAAGCCATTGACCTCTGTGATATCTTAGATAATTTACATTGATAACCATTAATTTCCTCATTGCCTTAAAATGCACACAGTCTAATTTTTAAGAATTTTTCCCAATCACTCTCTAGTTTCTCTACTACATATGGAATATTCTTATTGCGTACTTACGCTGACATAATTTCAATTCATTTAATCATTTATGTAATCTACACCAAAATCACGCAAAAAATCAAGATTTCGTCATATGGAAACGATTATTTTCTTTCTAGATCGCAATATTGCTACCAAATACACAACTCAATAGGCAAAAAAAGTGGAACTTAAAATTCGCAACAAATATCAATTGGAAGATTTGGGTTAAATATTTACACAACTTAAACTAAAGTATAAAACAATTCCTGTTCCTTTGTTCCATAACAAACTAACTTTTCTCTCAATGCAAGTTCGCAAATTTGTTAATCCGTACTCAAAAAGCTAATATCTGTCTTGATTACGCTTCTTTTTTTTTTTGATGAAAAATTGGTTCTTGTATAAAATTTTTCTTAACGGCCCTGTGTTTTGATATTTCCGTTAGTGAATTGGAACAATGGCAACTGGCACATAATGAAATGTTTGCAGAATTAAATTCCAAAGCGTACCATTCCATATTTTCTCTTTTCCATTTGGTTTGTATCCCAGGTAGATTCAACATTTACATGTGAAAAAATTGAAATGTAAAAATTCTCTTATTGAAATAGTTCACATCGTATCAGCTGTTCCAGCATACCAACAACAGTAAAATATGAGGACTGTGGCATCTCTGCATTATAAAATTGATGAATCTAAATACGTAGTACATAAAAACCATAACATACTCTTACTTTAAGCATTCTAGAAGACATCAACCAAGGGAAAATAAAGTATTTCTTTCATATAAAGAAAATTAAAGGCACATTAACATTTAGCCGCAGCCGTTATTAATGAATCAACAGGAAGATGTGGTTATATTCTTATTTAAGTAACATGTTAGTGATATGTCTGTACGCAACACAATTGTCAAGCGGCTATTTTACAGCTTACGAAGCACAAGAGGATGATAAGAATTGTTTCTGCGAGGTAAGCCAAGATGAATAAATGCATTTGAATTATTGGTATAAATCTTATTTAAAATTCCAGCTACGGGGCTCAATAAACGATTGCAGTTGCGATGTGGACACTGTAGATCATTTTAACAATATCAAAATTTTTCCCCGGCTTAAAAGTCTGCTAGTGAAAAATTATTTTCGCTTCTATAAGGTAAACTTAAATCGTAAATGCCCGTTTTGGCCTCAGGACAGCAAATGTGCAATACGTTTCTGCCAAGTGGAAAACTGTGAAGAACAAAATATACCTAAAGGATTGATAGAGCCAACCAAACATCATTCAAACGGTGAACCGCCGGGAGCTGCTTATAAGGTAAAAACACTAAAGTAGTGACGTGGCCAACATTTTGTTTGCCTATTCATTCGCGTGGTAACTAATTGACTACTATTTTGTGTTTTTTTGTGGGCGTTGAACACAAATGCGTTTATATTTATGAAAAATTTAGATTTGACAGTGTTAGTGTATCAACAATAGATTACATTTTCAAGTGATTTACAATATTTAAATGATATCGTCTACCAACAGCTCTTGCGCTTTGATTTCGTTATTTATTGAAAATTGAACATCTAATATTGCTATTCGATGCATTAGTAAGTAACACGTCTGTTATATTATTTCGTCACAGTATACAAAAGAAGCTCAGGAGCCTGCTTGCTCGGATGCTGATGATTTTAATAGCATTTTGGGTTTCTTGGATACCAGCATTAGCGATCAGGCTCATAAAGAGTTTGAATTATGGGCTAAGCATGATGAGGCCGAAGAGGATTTTTGCATTATGGATGATAATCAAGAAGATGCTCAATATGTTGATCTTCTTATTAACCCAGAACGTTATACCGGCTATAAAGGAGATTCCGCCCATCGCGTATGGAAGAGTATATACTTAGAGAATTGTTTCGATACACAAAATCAAAACAACTCTTTACCAGACTATGTTGCACATTTGGATTTACGTAATTTGTGTTTAGAGCAACGGGCTTTCTATCGAATTATTTCTGGTTTACACTCTAGTATTAATATACATTTATGCGCTAAATACTTGCTCTCAGAATCCAAGGATTTCTTAGACCCTCAAGGTATATGGGGACCAAATATAGATGAGTTTAAAAGACGATTTAGTCCGGAAACCACTAACGATGAAGGCCCTCATTGGCTAAGAAACTTATATTTCATTTATTTAGTGGAATTAAGAGCATTAGCGAAAGCTGCTCCATACTTTAAAAAGGAAGAATATTATACCGGTATCGTTGAAGAAGACGAAGAAACAAAAATGGCAATTAAGGACTTGCTATCCGTTATAGAGTAAGTAATTAAATTTGTTTAAAGTTGAAATGACATAATGAAATAAGATCGCCGTAAAGGTCGTTTCCTTCACATTTCGATGAGCACGCTTTGTTTTCAAGCAGCAGGGAGGGCATCAAATTTAAACGTGAATTCAAAGAGAAATTTCGCAATATCTCGGAAATAATGGATTGCGTTGGTTGTGATAAATGCAAAGTGTGGGGTAAATTACAGGTAAATTGATTGATGAATTATAATTTTGCAAAGATTTTCATAAACAAATTTTTTATGCGTAGACTCAAGGTTTAGGTACGGCTTTAAAAATTTTATATTCGGAAAAACTAAATCAAGCCACAGTAAGCGGCTTATGGCAGAAACCGAATGTAGAAGGCGATCATATATTTCGTTTAACACGTCCCGAAATTGTGGCTCTATTTAACGCTTTTGGAAGGTTTGCCTTTAATATATAGTGACATATCTCATTGTTAAATATTCATTTTCTATCCTTTAGACTTTCCAATAGCATATTTGAAATGGAAAATTTTCGAAAATATCTCAGATAGCAAACCACAAATTGAATGCATATTACTTAAGAAAGAGGCAAACTTTACTTAACGAATTTTTTAGTAATTATAAAAAAGTGTGCAGCTCCGAAATTTGCTATCGTTCTTAACAACACATATATATCATTAATTTTTGATTTTTACTTATATTCATTGATTTGCAATCAATTTTCAAAGTAACAAATTCCCATTCATACTACGATAATGAATAATTAGTAATTTTTTTTTTTATTAATTGATATATGTTAAGTTAGCATTTAAGTGTATTTATTTATAGGAAACTAGCACGAGCAAATGCATGACAATGAAAATTTTGAAATAAATGTAAATATGGAAAAGTGATCAAAAAATCAAGTATGTAAAAACAAAAGTCTTGGTAACCGTATTTAAAAAATGTTATACCATTTGAATGCAAATCGCTTTCAGTTTATATTTTGAAGAACTGTGCTCGCTTTATTCCTTTGTTAAAGTTAAGATACTAAGATATAAGTACTGCGCATCACAAAGACTTACGTTACTTTCTTATTATTGTTGTTGTAAATACTAACCTACTCGTATAAAAAAGTACTACTATGTTCCAGAAGCAGTCAACTTGTCCACTGTAAAATCCCGAATTGATTAACCCATATCCACGTAATGTATGCCGTCTATTGTATGAACACTTACGATTAATAGACGCAAGAGCGATAGAAAACTGAAATTTCAAAATCCATTTCTAATGCATATTTTACTATTCATAAGAGATATTGAACTGAAAGCAGGCCACTTGCAAGCTCGATGCAAAAATTGTTCCGATAAGCCAACCAGCAACTGAATATTTTGGAAATTGTATACCCACTTATGGGGCCCACGTGTGCAAAGGTTTTCTTTTATCTATCCACTTGAAACGTCTAAAAATTAGAAGTCGACTGTGAAAATAAAAACCTTAAGCAATTACAATTAATTTATTGTTTTATATATAAGTACTTTTTTTTATTGAAACTTTTACTTAAAATGCAAGATTTAATATATATGTATTTAAAGTCGAATTACAAGAGTTGTGAGTATATACGCAAAGACACACACATATATATATATTTTATATATAAATATGTATAGAAAGTTGTGACATAGTTTTTGTTTTTCGCATTGTAGTTATTAATTTTATAGACATTTTATATAAAAAAAAGAAAACAATTATAAAAATTTTTTTTTAATATTCAATCACATCATAATTTGTTCCGTTTTGTTTTAGATTTATTTTTTGTTTTTTATATGCAGTAAATAGTTTTTATTGTTGCTATTATCATTTACTTTTTACTTCTTAAAGGCAGTTATTTGCTTTGTGTAATGAGAGTGAAGTAATTTTATGCTAACAAAATAGTAAGTTTTGAGAACTTCTCATATATCAATATATCTAGGAATGAGATTCGTTTACATTTCTTCACAAATGTATACATATACACACCCGCATGTACGAAAATTAGGGACATAAGATTATTATCGCTTTGGAATATCTAGAAGTAGGCCTCGCAACCTATTAAATTCGACGTATTCCTAAGCGTCGTAAGCCTTTAAATCGCTTTGCGATTGCTGCACTGGCAAAATATAACGCAGATAGTGTTAATACAAGTCCACAAACCAAGTACAAAAAGCAAGAAGATCTGAGATGAGGAAGGCGCGTACAAAATAAAAAAAAATAAAAAATAAAAATATTTCTTACTCAATATTTTTATCATGGCAAATCAATAAATATTGATTTGAAAATTGATACAAATATTTATCATAACTGTTGTGAAAATGATAAGCAAAAATTTGAGAACAGTTGTGGTGTTCTACTGGTTTGTGCTTCACTAACGGAGACCGATTTGATGTATTTTTTTTTTTTTTTTTGAGATGGTGAGGTGGTAATAAGTATTCGTCTTAAGACGACTATGCTTCGTTTAAAATAAAAAAAAGTTATTCGTTTAAATTTCGACTAATGGTTTTTCAGGCAAATCGCATTTGGTTCCTTTTTCATCGTCATAAGTATTTTCGGTGGTACCGGAATCATTGGTGGGACTTAAAGGTAATAAAGATTTTGTGCTGCCAATCAATCCAGAGCCTTCAGCTGGCAGTATATCCATATCCTGTGTATTTTTAATAATGAAAAATGAATTGTTTTCGATAAATTAGCATAAAATCATGCTCACCTCTATATTATTCAGTTGACTGATATCATGGCGAACTTCAAGTCTTTTAATCGAACGATTCTTTTTAGTTTTCCGATTCGAGTAAACCGCATCATTATCGGAGTCATCATTTCCACAGATACAACGCATTTTAGCATCGTCACCCACCTACACAATTATTTTTATTAATTTGAAAAGACAACGACTTCTCTTTTTTTTTGTGTTTTATATTTTATATATGTATTTACCTTAACCGATTTTGTTATTACAATTAAGGACATTGAGGATATAATAAACAGGACGATGGGTACTATCAGTGAAACCAACAGCTCTCGGTAGACTTTACTTAAATCATAACGAGCTACTACAAAATCGACTGCGGGATTCTAAAAATAGTTGGGGTAAATATCATTTATACCGTTACATATTTTTTTTTTTTTTTTTTTATTATTTAATGGATTATTTTGATACCTTATTATAATAGCATTGATATCTTGATTGTGCGGTATTATTGTCACCGTCATTGCCATAACGAGCGACAAATTCTTTACATTCACCTCTCAGCGTATTCACGCATCCTTCCAAGTTAATTAACAACTTTTTGTTTGGATATATAGTCAAGTTTGCTTGATTAGGTAAGAATTTTTGTTTAACATCTACAGGCACCAAACTTGTTTCATAGATTTTCCAAAATTGTGTAAAATTCATAAAAGGTTCTGGCAAAGCATTTGGTTCCAAAATAGTACCGTTTATACAATCGGTAGCGCTAGAGTTTAACAAAACAAAAAAAAAAAAAGTCAAGAAATGAAATTATAAAGCCCTGGTGACGAATCTTTTTCATACCCATCACCTTATATTGAAATAAAAAAAGAACATTTCATATCTCGCCAAATCATAAGGTTCGGAGTCTACAGAGAAAATGCGCTCTATGATAATCTAATTATGCCCTACATGGTTTGCGGTATAGGGATATGTTGAGTTTTTGCGGATGTATGCAACACTCACAGGGACATGCGATAGACCCGCCTTTCATTATACTGATTTAGAATCATCATGGTTTAGAATCAATCATCGATTTAGAATCATTTTCGAGATCGATCTAAGCTTGTCTCTCCGTTTGTCTGTCTTGTTTTCATATGCTCAACTTATAGGTCGCAAATTTTCGAAATATTTCGGTGAAATTCGCTACACTGATATGATTTGGCCCAAGAACGAATGCTATTGAAAATGGTTCGCATGGGACTACTTTTTCGATCACTCTCCATGTATGAATAACTACATTAAACAAAGTGATGTAGTGCGTTCAATGCTGGGCCGCGTACCACTCTAGTGATTTCACATGTTCATATATATATACAACGTTTCTATTAAGTCCTGCTCTCTATAAATTTTTTTTTTTTATAGCTCGATACTTTTGCAGCCTCTCTTTCATTGGCGCATGGAATTCTTTCAATTAATAAAAACAAAAATGTGGCGATTAGCAATCTCGTTAGCGACATAACCTCAAGAAAAGAAGAAATTTGAGAAAACCTTAGTGAAAAGGAGGAGGAGCATCTATAAGAAAATTTGAAACAGTGCCAATGTTGAAATTAATGTATTAAAACCAATTTCTCGCATATTTGAGGTTATGTTATTTCACATTTTAGATTAATGTCTGCTACTGATCGCAAAGCTTTGATGAAAAGATACTTAAGCTATTGTTTGAGTGTCTTTAAGTGAATTGAGCCTGATGTCAAAATTCATGTTTAGAATTCAGCCGATATTTTTTTGAAGACTCAGTCTTCTGTGTGCAGCCTTGCAATCATAATGGTATCAAAAATATGAAGGACATAACTAACTTGAAACAAAAGCGTCTGCTTGGAAAGGAAATGAAAAAATATTGAATACCGCTAAGGGTTGCTATAAAATATGAAATGTTTTTCCGAATGATAGAAAATGTTTCAAAACTCTACCGTTTCGTTGCGCTTTATAAAGAAGTCTTACATTATCTTATCATTCTCTTTAAGAACAGAAGCACAATTGGCTAATAAATGACCATCATCCTCCTTCCAAAATTCAAGAGGATTAATGCGCACGCCATGTTCATTACCGCGAGCTTCATTGAAGGCGACGCTATTTTCACAATCGGCGGCTATAACATTATCATCCTAAAATATTTTTGAGCAATTTTCAATCAACAAGTTTTGAAACGAAATAAAAACAAATCAATTACCTGCATTAGTAAGACATTAATCCGGGCTGTGGTAATTTTTGAACAATACCGATCGCAACTAAAGGGCTTTTTAATTTTCGTACAGTGTATACCGTGACATTCAAAAAAACCGTTCAATTTCGTATTATCTTTCGCTGAATTAATGGTGGGTCCGTCAGCCTTATGGTGGCACAAAAAGAACTCTGACATATTTTTGCAGTGCCCTGAAATCAGTTCAGCAGTTAAAAAAAAACCAACAATTGCTGATACATAGATAGACTAAACAATTTTATCTGAGGAAATACTGTCACCTCTTCACCACGCCATCTTTAACTAGCAGAAACCTTATTATAGGTTCTGCATGTATAGCACGTATATGCTAGCTCGAAATAGTTTGTTTGCTTGTAATAAAAATTCCAAACGTCGCAGAAATTCCGATAGAAAGTTGCAAACGCGGACATAAATGTTTATGCGTATTGTGAGGACCCAAAGTCGTCCCTCGTTTTGGCCTTACGGGTTCTCTGTCTCTGGTGAGGGTAAGGTAGTGCTATGGTTAAGTTAGCAATCGGGTAGGTTAAGGTAGTAATAAGAATAGGATAGCGATAGGGATAGGTTAAGATAGAAATAACATAGAATAGAATAAATTAAGGTAGCGGTAGGGATAGCTTAAGCTTGCAGTTTAGTTAAGTTAGTCTATTCTAGTCGCTCGAAGAGAGAAGTCTGCCTTCGACTCCCGAATCGAGAATAAAAGAACCAGTCTCAGCAAAAAATAAATTTTTTTGCGTTTTTCTTTCTTCCCTGGGCCGCTGAGCTGCCTCAGCCGTAAAAACAGGCAATAGCGGTTAAAAGACACAAAGTCATCCTCTTGCATTACAGCGCCGGGCCACACGTTGCCGCAGAGTTGCCAAGTATACATTGTTAGCACTCGTACTTTGTTAAATGACTAAAAAGACATAGCGCCTTCTGATTACCACTCGCTCAGATCGATGCAGCATAGCTTGGCTGGCATGTATGATTTCGAAATGCTGAACAAGTGCGAAAATGGATCGATGATTGGATTGCTGCTAAACCAATATTGTTCTCTCGACACGATATCGCCATGATGCCAGAAAATTGGGCAAATGTTTTGATTAATTTTTCTCAATAAATGCTTCTTCCAAGTGAAAAAATGATGAAAAGACACACAAGCACCTAATACCACAAATTTTGTACATATTACATCGTCAAGTTTGTTGATAACTGGTAAATAGAAGAAATTATTTTATTCATCAAAGTATCCGCCCATATTGCCTACAGGCAAGTGCCATTTAAGCGGCTGATGGTATAATACCCCGGCGGACGAGAGTCCATTAGTGCTTGGAAGGCCAGTTTTTCTGCATTGTTGGAATTGAAATTTTTTGCTATCAAGAAGTTGTGCGAAAGAAATGGTAGTCGTCAGTGGGAGCTAGATCTGGTGACTACGAAGTTTGATGAAGAAGTTCCAACTCCAATTTTTGTAGTTTTACTACGGTCACGCGAGCCTCAGTGTGTGGTCTGGCCTTATCTTACAATAAGCCAGGAGTCGATCTGGAACTGTTTATCTGTAAGGTCTAGGATCATTTTGTCTAGTTGGTTACAGTAAATGGCTGCCGTAATCGATGAGCTGAGTTTCATGAAATTGTAATCCTGCCACCACACTTGCACTAGGCCACTCATCGTCAGCTTCTTCTGATGAATAACTACGCTTTGGAGTAGGTTTTGGTGATTTATGCTTGTCGAACCGCTGCCCTAGACCATTTGTGATTGTCATATTGCATCAATTTCCCATCACAAGCGATTATTCGGATGGACAAAATGGATTAGATTTGTGACGAGAAAGGAACATCAAACAAGCTTTCAAACGCTTTTGTTTCTGTTTTTCCATTAGTTGATGGGTAACCTACTTATCTAACTTTCTCACTTTCCCGATTTGGAAGAACTTACTTCTACAGGTAGCATGTGTGATTTCTTAACAAAAAAAAAAAAAAAAAAAACGGTCAAATATTAAGTCATTGTCAAGTCAAATAACAAGCTGTCAAAGTTGGAAAAATTGTAACCTACAAGTTTCATCCTGGCCGACCCGACATGTTCATAAAGAAATTAAGGATCAATAGTCGGAAAGTGAACATTTAGCAAAGTTATTTTCAATGATGCACTGTAAGCGCCACGATTATCATAATTTATTGAGATGGTAGGTGGTGAGGATAGCGCCACAAAAAAATGCCTCTTCCGGCTGATTATTAATTACCGTTAGAACAATTAAATACTCCATGTATATTGTTGCAAGCTGTTCCATTATTACAATTAAATTTATTTAAGCGATTCATATCGATCTGAAATATAAAAAAAAAACAAGATCAAATGATGTAAATTAATAAAAAAAAAAAAAAAAAAAAAAAAAAAAAAAAAAAAATAAGGAAGCACTTTATTCGACTTTTAATCGATTTTATCATCATTTTCATCACAAAATAAAAAACAAATTTAATTGTCATCAAAGTCCTTGCATGGACGCGTATGGTTCAATGATCGCGTAATAAATTTTTGCGTGAAGTGAGTATTCTGGATCAATTTTCATCACAAAGCAAAGAAAAAAAATTTTAGATCGTAATGCTATAGAAGGACGTGTTTTTTGTAAAATCGTTCAGAGACTTAAAAGAACCGGTCTATTTCATTGAGCATGACAGACTACTATTTTCCATTGATTTTTTATTGAAACAAACATCCCTCCAATATACGATGTTAAATAGTCCGGCTTAATGCATTATCGCTGGGATTAATTCATCCTTGAGACAAAATATATCAGTTTATTAAATGACGTTATTACGGTACTCGGAAAGTCATTTCGTTTTTTTTTTTTTTTTTTTTTATTTGTTAAAATGAATTTATAGTAGATGAATAGGTTATCATGAACGATCGAATTCCGTAAAGATTCTTTCTCAGCGATCTTACGAATTGTTATGCATCGGTTTGCTTCAGTTAATCCCTTTATTTTGTCTTCATTAGCATTCAGCTGGCCTTCGAGAACGTGACACATCTTCAATATCGTAATTGTCGGAATGAAATTTTGTAAATCAGTTTCGACACTGGTTTTCGGACAATAGATCTTGTCCATATACATTCAATAATTCAATTCTTGCTTAAGTATCATTGCCGGAATTTATTGTTTTTGATATTCCACAGCCGATACGGCATCAAATAAAAACAACAAACCTCCGAATCGAAAACATCTTTCAAACACAAGCCTTTCTATATTAGCTGTTATTGAGTATATATATTAAAGGGACGGTTCAAATGTCAACTTGGTTGTGAACGAAGGTAATTATGAGAAAAACTATTAGGAATGGCAATATTGGGAAAAATATGAAATGACTTTCCGATCAACCTAATATCTCGAAAACGATTATTTGTGATTTAAAAAAGAAAAATACCTCAACATGGTTAAATCGATTCAAAACGAGGATTTTGATTCGTTTGTTGTAACGGGAGGTGGACCTCTTTTTAGCGATAAGAGGTGATATGAATGCGAGAAAACTGTTTTTGCAAAGTTTAATAAAGTTTTCTCTACAAGTAACTTTCCTATGTCCTTGCTTTGCTTTATGAAGAATTTTCGGTAATTTTTTATAAAAAATAAAGCAAAAGTTTTTGCCTAATATTATTCGCAACTGCCATCTTAAGCACCTCAGGGAGCTATTAATTGTATTCGATATCACTTAAGATGCATTAGGTTTGGACAAATGCATCGAACGCACAGAATTACTTATGATAAATTACTTTAGATTTATTATATCGATCGATTTAGGCTTGTTTGTCCGTCCGATGTGGGGCGTGAAACTATGTGAATCCTTGCAGGACTATAGTTGCACCGAAACTGTCACCTTTTCGTCGTTTTCCCAATAAATGTTGTCTGATTGCTTTATGACTTCTTACTTATTAGAGTTGCTGAGTCGAGGGCAAAGAAGGGTTTTAGGATTTACTATCTATAACTTGACAATTGATTTTTCTCTTGGCAGCCTAAGAGGAGTATTGAAAGAGTTAAAGAAATCAATTAACCTAATAAGCTTAGTTATATATTTATTCAACTATATTCATCGAACTCGATTATGCAATGCCTTCACTATACATCTTTCGAGGAAGCGTCAACAGTCACCCATCATTAAAAAACTTGTTTTGCTCGCCTCATAGTTCTTGAACAATTTTGCTGAATTGTGCAATAATGGATGGACACAAACAAGCCTACGTTTTTTCTTTATATATTTTTTTTGTTAATCTTTTAGTCCGAACATTTAAAGGAGTGCCTTTCGCAAATATTGTCGCGCATTACAAACAATTTATTATTACCTTAAAAAATGGTTTTTAAAGTATAATTATTTGCCTTATACCACCTTGTGATATCCATATTAATCACTGAAATTTCACAATCCGTTGCATAAAAACAAAAAAAAAAAAAGAAAAAGAAAAACAACTTTTATATATACACATGCCTGAAACTTTCCCGACAATGGATTTCGATAAAAGTTTGGGAAAATGTGGTGATTTCGATCGTTATCAACTCTTATTATTAGCTCTTTTTGGGCTCATCAGCATCACGGTATCCATGCGTTACTTTACTCAAACTGTGCTAGGTTTTGTACCCGATCATTGTTGCTAGCACGAGAAGTTGGAAAATCGTTCTTATGATGAGATAGCTGCTATCTATTTCAAATCTCCAAATCCTTCGTGTACGCGTCTCTTAGACGTCAACGGTTTGAACGCTACTGCCAGCACTTGGAAATGTTCCAGATGGATTTATAAATATGACTTTGGTTACAGATCAATGAAGACCGAGTTAAACTGGATTTGTGACGCCTCGTATAAATCAACTACAGGTCAATCGTTATTTTTCATTGGTTCACTTTATTTTACGGCTTGTTGTCGGATAAAATTGATCGGCTGCCTGCTTTGATTCTAGCAAACTCTTCGGGTTTTGTCGGAGACTTTTCTACAATATTTACGAAACACCAGTCACCACTTTTATCCAATGCCGATTTATATCGGGCTTGGCTGCAGATACAAACTTCTACTTGATATACATTATAGTTCTCGAGTACATGCGTCCTAAAATGCGAACTTTGGGTCTAAATATAGCTGTAGGCGTCCTTTATACCCTCGATTTAGTGTTTACACCTTGATTGGCAATTTTAACTGGACACTGGCAATACTATTTAGCCAGCACGTCTTTACCACTTCTCCTTATTATTCTGGTCTATTTTGTGATACAGGAAAGTGCCCAATGGTTGGTGACACGTAATGACGTTGATGGTGCTATCAAGCAATTGAAATGAGTTGCAGAGTTTAACGGCAGGCATTTAACTCAAGCTGAGTTTAATGAATTCCGTAAATATTGTCAGAAACAACGGTAAAAGCATTGTGGAGATGACCAGAAGCATTCATGATACTGTTTTTTAAATCTATGGTCATCACTTTATGTTACGATGTGGTATCACATAATGTGGAGGGTATGGCCATATCGCCATTCATTATGTCGTATATTATGTAAAAGCATGGCATCTGGTTCTTTATTGGTTGTAGGTTTCTTTACAGTGGTTGCTGACATAGCCATTGCTTATGACAATCACAATGCTGTGCTTTTAGCTAGTCTTACCGTAGCCGCTCGTTTCGGTGTAGCTATCTCCTATGAATCCGGTTCGCAATACGCGACGGAGTTAATACCGACTTGCGTAAGAGATCAAGGGGTGGCGGCTGACTGTTCGTGTAGGCGAATTTGCTGCTTCGTTTCTAGCTCCCTACATATTGTGGTTGGGCACTGTCCTCAAAGCAGCTCCTTCTCTCATATTGGGTGTGCTGTTTTTCAGTGATTCTTTCGTATGCCTATTATTACCATACACACTACACAAAACGCTTCTCAAGACCATAGAAGAAGGTCAAGTCTTTGGCAAGGGCGAACGTATGTTTGACTTGCCTTGCTTATCCCAATAAAATAAAAAGTCTGAAAACAAAAATTCCGAACAGAAATCTTACAGCAAACGCAAACGCAATCAATCTCTGACAATAGGTTTAGAATGCAATCATGAAACTGATGCAAATCGCAGCAATTATACGTAAAATATTAGGGAATTAATAAGCAAACGTAGTAATTAACTACTTAGCTAAGTTTATAATAATATGTAGAACAAGTAAGCAATCATCCCTTTTCGTACTCGAATATTTGTTTTTTTTTTTTCATTTCAATAATGATTTTAGTATAGTAAGGCTCAGCTAAGCCAATTACTTTGAGTTTACTTAAATCGATTAATTAGCTTAGGGATCTTTTTAATATAAATATAAGTTTTTATTGTATGTGAATTTTTGAAAACTAATTTTATTACTAATGACAATTGCTAAGCGAAATACGAAAATTCAGTCGAAGTATTAAATTCACAATAAAATGAATTTATAAATGAATTTAGAGGAAGAAATATATCTATAATTACATTTTTACTTGTTGCTATCTTTTAAACGCTTATAAAATATATATTTGCAGGTATGTCGGTCAACAGGTTGTCCTGTCTAAAAGTGTTTATAATTAATTGACAAAGAATTTTTTTTTTATTTTTTTCTTCCATTACCGATCGAAAGTAAGTTTAAGTGCTCGCTGCTTGCATAAAAGCTTTATCCTGCAAGTCAAAGGACATAATTTACAAATCCCTGTGCAATATTCTTTAATGTCAGTCATTGTGCGTGCAGATGTAAACACATATACCTGTTAAATGACAATTTCCTCTCGTATCTCTTATGCTGATAACAACATGCAATTTGAATAATTTATTAATTGAGAGTGTGTATAGGTGTGTGTGTGTGTGTGTGTGTGTGTGTGTGTGTGTATGCGTGTGTATGCGTGTGTGTGTGTGTGTGTTTGTGACTTCATGCATATGAACGTTTATGTCATTTTAAGGTCTTATGACTCATTGAAATGATATGCACGCAGAGCACAAAGGGATAGAAATTAATTTGCAAATGAATATTTATTCGTTGAGTGAGTGAGACAATCTATGTCAATAATATGTCTATGTTTAGGCTACGCTGTATGCGATTATATGTATATATAAAATGGAAATCAATTTACCGCATCTTGCTTGTATAAATAAACACAATAAACAAAAAAAATGTGTACAATGGGTGGGCGTTTAAACTCAAAAAGGGGAAAAATTTGTCATTCAATACATAGCAGCAATGTTTTGTCATCGTCTGCCTTATTGTCGGATACACATATTTTATATATGAGTTGATTTTGTAAAATATATGTGCAATATATATGTGAATGTGTTAAATGCATATTAACTTACCATAGCACAAGAAGTATTGGTGATGCGGCTACAATTGTTTAATTGTATATCGGTGCCATTGCGTCGCACTACTGAATGTATTTGTGGGCAAAAACCGCTGGTACGAGTTAAACACCACTCGCCGCATGACGCCCACGGACATTGGGCATTCGGCATTTGACGGTCTATAGTCTGGCACATAACTGGCTCTAATTCAAAGCCCGACTTGAAGGCTCTAAGCGAAGAGAGTGCATATATATATATATATATATATATACATATATAAATGCATATAAAGAAAGAGATGGAGAAAGAAATGGAAAGCAAGAAAGAAAGAAAGGAACAGAAAGAGAGAGAGAGAGAGGAAAAAGCGAGAAAAAGAGAGAGAGAGAGAGAGAAAGAGGTCAATAGGGGTCATGCCGAAATATTAATATATGACGCCATTTATCTTACTTAAGCGAGGGCGAATAGATGGCGACACTTAAATAGACAATCGAAACGCAAGACAATACCATGGTTAGCTGACATAAGCAAATCGCACGGCATATACGTTTATCTTGTTCGGGGATCATTCGAGGTTTATCCTTATGGCGACCCATTATCAATGCTTACGTTTAGTTGATTGTATGTTTTATTGTAATTGAAAATGTATTTTTCTTTTTTTGTTGTTGTTTTCTTAAATCCCTGATTAAAAATTTAGCTATATTCGTAGTTGCCGTTCGCTATTGCCGTTGTTTGTTGCTGTTTGTTATATCTTATTAATTAAAGCGGTGGTAGATATTTAGTCTTTAGTTTTTTTTCATGTATATATATATATCAATATACATATATATTTAATAAAAAAGAAAAAAAATTTTGTTTTTTTTTTTTTTTAAATTTTTGGTCGTTGTAGTATTTTCCGGTTTTGAGTTCTTTGTGTGTTGTGTGCGTGTGTGTGTGTGTGTGTTGGTGTGTGTGTGTGTGTGGCTTAAAGAAAGTCAATGATTGTCTACTGTTGTAGATGCGCTCTTATTTGCTACTTAATGGTTGGATATACACATCCATATTAATCATGTGAAGAGAGGATGAGTAATAACTTTTAGTAGTAGTCTTCCCTAAAAAATTCCATGACTTGTTGATTTCTATTGTAATTAATATTACAATAATTTTAAGTAAAATTTTCAAGTTTTTTTCTCTTTCAATATTTTTGGTATATTATTAATTTTTTTTTATTTATTTATTTATTTATTTATTATTCTTTTATTTAATTTATTGCATTTAAATAAATTCTAATTAGGCTCTGATTTATTTTATGTGTTATGTCTTATGAGAAGCAAAAACATTAGTAAAAAAAAAAGAAGTTATACGCGGTCCGGTTCTACATGTACTGCTAACGTGTATGTAATTTATGCTGAACTAGCTTCTATTAAACTGAAGAAAATTTTCAAATGCATTATTGTTTTATCGTTCTTCGAGTATATATATATATGTATATATATGCAGGATAATAAACATTTCCATAGCTTTTCGACTGAGGTGTTGTTTTAAAAGCTTTCCCTAAGCATTCCAGTATCATTACATCATTTCCAACCGCCTTTTTTTCTACCTGTGTTTTGATTGTTATATTAATTAGCGCAGACGCAGTCACTCTATATAGTAATACTAATCTATTTCATTCACATACCGGACTTGAAGATGGAAAGCTTTGTTATATCAAAAATTTTCTTAACACAATATTTTTTTTGTTTCGCTTACTCTATTTTCGGGCATCTAGCGATAGTCATCGAAGATTTCATAGTCTATAGCTAGCTATTCCGGCTAGCTATTCTTCGCCCATTATTTTCTTATTGTTCTCTGTTTGATTTTATGTCAGAACTTATAAAAGGTGCACTTAAGTAGGCAGAGAGTAGAAAATCTGGTTAAATTTAAAAAATCTTATACTGTTGAGTATGATTCTATATTAAAAAATTTATACAAAATTCTTAAATACATATTTTTACATCAATTACCGAAGTGCGGGGATATACTGAACATATCTTCTCCAAAAATTCGCCGTAAAGGTATCTTAGGTTTAAGTATCTTCTTTTTTTTTTATTAAAGGAAAAACTGTGTACGCCTACCTAATCGCTACCATTGATAAAACGAAGGCTAGATATGATATGATATATAGCATTATACATGCATGTCGTAGCTGGCCACAGGTCAACTTTGAACCCATTCGCAGCGTCGTCTGCAATAATCAAAAAAACCTAAGATTGGGTATCTATATATATTTATCTAAGACATAATTCAGAGCAGTGTGTTCTTAAAAGATTTTCTTGTTGTAGTCGCGTAAAAAAAAAATTGCTTTTTAATATCGAAATTTAGAAAAGTAAAAGTTCGCTTAAATGAAAAATTTGTGGAAAAACAAATACTAAAGTATGCTTGAAATATTCCGCTATACAAAAAAAATCATATGCACATATACGTGCATAAGTATATAAAATGAACTATAAAGAGTATTCATAATATAATAACGTTTAGTTTGTATAAAGTGGGCGTTGATGTGCGAGCTGAAAATATTGCAAAATGCAAAAGAGAATCATATGAGTAATAGACAATTTACACAGTTGATCGCGATATTACTCGCACTCGCAATCTGATCAATCAAGTGGAAATATTAAAGTCCCTTTGTGAATTTGCTGTAAACACAGTAAATACATTATAAGCAAATTTAATATGTCCCATCAATATATTTAGAATCTTATTTGAAATGTAAAGCGTTAGGCAACATGAAAATATCGTCGGAAAAGAATGCTTGAAAAAAGAGGAATTTCCGGTGCATCTAATAGCCTTAAGTCGTGAAAAGCATTGCACCTGAGCGCGTTGATAACATTGACCGTTGATGATCATCAGCCATCTTAATAACTAACAAAATTTAGTCATCGCATTCTCCGCTAATCATTCGCCCCATTTTCGTGGTATAATTCCTTCTATCTATCTATCTATTTCTCTCTCTCTCTCTCTCTCTCTCTCTC